GTCAACATAATCATACTTCCAAAATTGATGCACAAATTTAACACAATCCCAGTCAAAATTCGAACAGCATTCTTCACAGAACTGAGGAAAAATTCTTAAAATTAATATGGAGCCAGAGGTGATCTAGAATAGTAAAAACAATTCTGACTAAAAGAGCAAAGCAGGGTGCATCGCAACCCTGGACCAGAAGTTATGTTACAAAGTTACAGATATAAAAAAGCATGGTACTGGTGCAAAACAGATATGAGGACCAATGGAACAGAATAGAGAAAGCAAAAACAATCCCAAACAATTCAATCATTTGATCTTTGACAAAGGGGCCAAAAACATGCACTAGGAGAAAGACAGCTTCTTTAGTAAATGGTGAGAAGATTACCTCTGGAGCCATATCTCTCACTATGTACTAAACTAAAACCAAAATGGATTGAAGAACTAAAAGTGAACAGAAACACTTAACATGCTGGAAAATAAAGCAGAACAATTCTTGAAGTCAAAGGTGTAGGCAAGAGCTTTCTGAATAGAACTCTGGTAGTACAGCAAAAACTACACATCAAACTTAAAAGCTTATGCACAGAAAAAAAAAAAACCAACAGAGTGAAAGGACAATCTACAGAAAGGGAAAAATATCTTCCCAACTAACTATTCCTCAGACAGAGAACTAATATCTGGAATATATTAAGAACTAAAAAATGTTAGATCCCCTAAAGATCTAATGAAAAATGGGCACATGAAATGAATGATACTTCACAGAAGAACTACAAATGGTGAATAAAATACATATATAGGACATGTTCAGCATTGCTCACCATTAGGGAAATGTAAATTAAAGCAACACCGAGATTCCGTCTTACCCCAGAAAGAATGACTGTTATCAAGAAATCAAATAATAACTAATGCTGACAAGGCTGCAAGGAAAAAGGAACCTTTCGACAGTTTTTGGCAGGAATGTAAGCTACTACAACTACTGTGGAATTTCCTCCAAAAACTAAAACTAGACATTCCATCTGACCCAGTTATTCACCTTCTAGGTATCTTCATGAAAGAGTTAAAGGCATTACATTACAATGCTACATGCACACCCATGTTTATAGATGCACAGTTCATAATAGCCAAGTTTTGGAAGGAGCTTATATGTCTATCAAGAGATGAATGGAGAAAGAAAATGTAATATTTACACACAATGCAATACTACAGTGCCATAAAGAAAGATAAACTTGAATCATTTGTAGGAAACAGATGCACCTTGAGACCATAGTGTTAAATTAAATAAATCAGACATATAAGCTTAAATATCACATAGTTTCTCATAGAAGACTTCTAAACTTATAAAAAGCAAATAAAAATAGATAATAGGAAGTAGGGAGAAAATCTCAAATGGGAAGGGATCAAGAGATGGAGAAGGGAGAGGAGACAAGTAAAAAGGAGGTTAAAAAGGAATTAAGATGTATTATGTATATGCACTGACTTCATGAAAAGAATGTAGACATTATGTCCTGCAAGCATGTACTAGTAGAAATTAAAAAACATTTGCCAGGATTGCAGATACTGGATATGATTCCGGCAGAATCAATCTGACTATTCATAAACCAAAAGTCTCCCTTGAAAAATAAAATCTAGAGTTGTTGGAATCTTTGTTTTTCAAATTTAGAATTGTTAATATCACATAAATTAATACTCTTTAGAGACTTTCGTGGGTTTATGTCACTTTGGACACTGATGACATTTTCAGTGTATAGTTGTCAGTTTTGGACATTCCCTTTCCTAGCTCTACCTGCGAGTCCTTCTCTACCCGACCCCTTCCCAGCTTCCTGTGTACTTGTGTAGCCAGGCTGGCCATTAACTTGCACCCCAGCCCCCTGAGTACTGACATTACAGGTGTCTGCCACTGTGCACAGCCATCACGTCATCTCTTTCTGAGCAATTCTAGTAAGCAAGCTCCAGTGACTGACCAGGTAATAAACACTGATTTCTATCCAGAATAGTAGCACTGTCTTATAGGAAATAAATGGGTAGAGTTTAGTAAAGGGAAAAGAAGTATTTTTTAAAAACCTCAGTTTTTTTCATGCCTATATCTTATAATCTGAGTAACTACTTCAAAGATAACAATGTACAATATGTTAACCATTTTTTTTTTTTTTTTTGTCTTTTTCGTTTTTATCGGTACCAGGGATCAAACTCAGACTGCCTGCTTGGAAGGCAGGCGCTTATGCCGCTGAGCTAAATCCCCAGCCCCAACCATTATTAATATCTTATTATTTTGTTTTGAAATTCTGTATCATCATTTTTATTCTTTTTTCATTTTAAAGTAAGAAAAATAAAAATATTTTTAAAATTAAACAAAAGAATAAAATGAGTGCCGTAACTCAAGCAAAAAAGACCAGCAATGCACTTAAGTCAAAAGACAAACAAAACAACTCAACCCGCGTTTCCGTGAGCACAGCTGTCAGAATGACTAACCTTGGTTCCAACCAGACATAGTGACCTCCATTAGTTAGATAATGGAGGTGCAGACGGGTTGTGTGCCTTTTATTTCCTGGCCAATTATACATCCTATTTTTCTCCATATTCAATGGGAATGACCTGAAAGCTTTTGAGGCTTTAGTCAACAATGTGTCTAGGACAACAACCCTTCAAAAATTATTTTGTTCTCATACTTCTTTGTAGGAAAAACATCCCACAGCCAAATTGTAGTTCTGTGTGCTGTAGGAAGACATTGTTTAGCTGGACTCTTTAGTAGGAAAAGAGAGAACATGCATCTGCTTGCTGACACCTCCAGCTGGACTTGTCTTTCAAGTAAGGAAAGGGCTCAGCCCTTTTCTGGAAATGAAACAGAACTCTTTGTTAGTGCAACTCTTCCTACAATAAAATCTCTATTTTAGCCTCTATCTGAAAGTGAAACCAAATTTATTTTTCTTTTGTTAAAATTTTACCTGTGAATGTTCCATGAAAACAGGAGGAAACAGGGACATGTAAAGCAGTTTTTTTCCTGAAGAAAAGGAAAGACTGCAAAATCCACAGAAACTTAAGAGAAGCATTTGTGCATTTGCAAAATTTTATGACTATTTGCCAGGCATCAGCTTCATGCTGACATGTTGAAATCATGGATAAACACAAAAGTTCTCTTTCCTCCAGTGGCTCACTCTGTCTGGCCACTAAGACTTACTGATTTTTCTCTGTCATGACAGCAAAGGAAAGAAACAATACAATCCCAGGCAGATAAGTATCTGCCAACCACATCATCAGCTTAAAAAAAAATGTTTTCACATTAGATACTCCCCAAAGCTACCTCTGACAAGTTCAAGCAAGAGTTGTAATCTCCAGGACCTGACATGCGGAGTCATGGGACTTTCCTGGCACTCTGTCCAGGTCCTCCCAGGCATTTGAGGCCTGCTGCCCTGCACAAAGGAGGGCACCCTGCACCACTGTCAGCACCCGCTTCCTGCCAAAGCCACAGGCAGGACTCCTGCCTCTCCCTCTTCCCCTCTCTCTCTTGCCCTGTCCTTTCCTATTCAAAGGCTTAGTGCTTACTTACCAAGTACCCAATTTGGGAATCAAAACAGTTAGATAGGCCTCAGCCTGTTGGGAGACGGACCTCTAAGGGAGTGCAACTTTAAGTGCAATACTGCCACAGATTCTTTGAGAAAATACATGGACAAAGAAGAAAGTGGTGGGAAGAGGGCTAATGTGGCACTGTCAAGTGTGGGAAGAAAGTGTGCTGCAAGGAGGTTAGTGGGGAGTTGCTTCCTCCTCTCAGCAAGTAAACTTCCCGGCCTTTCTTTACCATTCACTACGTAAGCCAACAGCCTGTGAGTTGAAATACTGAATTTAAGGCAGCCAGCCTGGGCAAAGGGAAGGAAAGTCTAGCCTCACCATTTGTATCCGTGGGCCTACTCTTTGAATCTTTACAAAACAGAAATTCAAGATACTGATTGCCCTGACCAAGAACACAGCTCCTTCAATCTCTTTCTGATTAGTCTTAAGTGGCTCCTCTGTCATTTTCTACTCACAAAGCCTGTGGCTCATGTGCTGTACCACAGAAGACCATTTCTTAGGTGAGGAAAGAAGGGAGCAATAGCCACTGGGGCATGGCCACCGCCTTGGCCACGGTGGAATCCAAGCCTGGTGCTCATATCCTGCCAAGCCACAGAGCCACTTCCTCAGAAGGCCTGATGATGTCACATTCACTCTGCTTCTATTTGGCTCTTTTGAAGTATCCTCCAGGGGGCTGGAGGGTGTTGTTCAGTGGTACAGTCTTTGCCTGACACACATAAAGCCTTGGGTTTGAGCCCCAGCACTGTAAAATAAATAAATAAATAACCAACATATTAGGAGTAACATGCATCATGTTTCCTTAAACTTAATGAGTCAGTGCCATCGTGGGAAGCTGTGCTCAGGAGGGGTCCTCACACTTGCTGCCTGTTTTTGGAGCTCATGTCAACTTAGTTCATGCAGAGGAGACAGAAGTCCTGAAGCACCCGGAAGAATTAATGGGGACCACTGGAGAAATGAGCCTTGTCACAGCTTTCTATTTGTGGTGGCCCCAAGAGCCGTCCCAGAGCTATGTCAGAACCCTGTCCACATCTCCATCACCCTTCACCCTCATTCATCACGATAAAGCAAACTGTATTGAAAACAGAGTGCTTGATACACACCGTAGCACCATGATAAACACTTTAACCCCCACCACCACATTATTTCCATCAAAGACTATACAAACCCTCCCATCTTCAGTGCCACAGCTTTGTCATCTCTGAGAAGGCCTTTCTTTTTGGCCAAAATGCCATTTGATGGCATCTTTAGATGGTTTCAGTTTTTATTTCCATTTTTTAAAAAAAAATCTCTGTTCATCTACCCACTGATCTAACTAAGTTGCCAGGAAAATCATATTTACTGTGAAAAATCATTTCCTAGAATGATTCTGCTTTGTACCTATTATCATCCCAGGACAGTATTAATAGCACCCCTTTTATTACTAAAGTTTGAGAGATGAATGATTTTGTCATTTGGCAAGTGACACCTGAGAGATGGTTAAAGGAGGTGCTTGACACGTCTCCCTTCCACAGAAGAGAGCTGACGCGAAGAGTTAATGGCACTATTCTGACTGCAGAGGTAGAGGAAGAAGGCTGAAGAGTCACCGGGAAGTGGTGGGGTGCATTTAGAGAGAGAAAGCCCCGGCTAGAGGCAGGGAGAGGAGGGTAAGTCACCCTGCCTCTCTCATACTTACGCCACCTTGGTGCCATGATGAACTTCCTTTTACAAGGAAAAGGTAGGCTGGAGACTCCCAACAGGGCCCCTTGCCACAGCAGGTGGCTGTGCAGGGGACTCACACAGGCACTGAGAAGACAGTTTGGAAAGTGACCAGAAGTGCACATTCTGTATTGCCACAGAGCAAGAGCCCAGAAGTACAAGTCCTAGCCCCCTGTGACACGGTTCTTGAGATTGCAACCACTGCTACAGTGCATTAAGCCCAGAGGGTCATGGCCACAGTGCAACTCCATTCTTGAGACTTTATTCCACTAAGCTTAGATGGGTGGCTGGGTACCATGTGGGTAGATGAGTTTGCATCCCCAGGGAAATGGTGCCTCACCCAAAGAGAAAACTGACACATAGGCCTGTGTGTCACTACACCTGGCTTGACGGTCAGCCAGATATTATCTCCACCTCCTCAGACTCTTCCTCACACCTGCTGGCCTGCACAGGAGCACTGGCACGTACCCAAACCAAGCCTGCCACTCATCTAACCTCACTTCCTGGTGAGCATTCTACAACACCACACTGGGCTGCGGTGACCAAAAACCAACCAGCATTAGCCTTTCTAAGGTAGATGAATTCACTCAGGTTTTGCTTTTCTGAACCTTTATTTCTTGTTTTATTTCTGAGTGATATCGTTGCTGAGTGCAGTATTCTTGACTGGCAATTTCAGGATTCTGAGTATATCACTCTGTTTTCTCTTGGTCTGCAAGATTTCCGCTGAGAAAGCTTCTGTTGGTCTAACAGGGATTGGCTTATTTGAGACTTGGGTTTTTTTTTTCTTTCTTTCTTGCTGCTTTTAGAATTCTTTCTTTGCCTTGGACTTTGACACTTTGGTTATAATATGCCTGGGGGGTGGGATTTAGGTTGAGTCTAATTGGGATTCTTGATTTTCATGGATCTGAATATCTATGTGTTTCCTAGTGCAGTGGTACCTCAGTTCATGAACTTAATTCTTTTCACAATTTTGGTTGCATACTTAATTGGACAAGAATCAAATCAAATTTCCCTCTAACGTCAACATTGAACCTAACCACCGAATTCAGTTCAACCCTCATTCAGTTCATTTTGTAACAAGAATCATGGGAAGAATTAAGTTCATGAAGCAAGCTATCAGTATATTTGGGAAATTTTAGCTATTATTTTGTGCACCTTTCCATTTGATTTCTCTTTGAATCCCTCTAAAGTGAATATTTATTTATTGAGTGCTGTATGTCTCATAGGCTTTCTTCATTATTTAAAATATTTTTTTCTCTTTTTTCTTTGAATGGAGTAAATCACAAGATCTGTTTTTCAAGTTCGGAAATTCTTTCCCCTTCTTCACCTATTGACTAGTCTTTGTGCCTCTCAATTATATTTTTTATTTTGTTCATTTAATTCCTGAGCTGCAAGATTTCTGTTTGATGTTTTTATGCTATCTAACTTTTTATTGAATTTTAATTACAATCATGAATTTTTTTTTCTTTGAGACAGGATCTCACTATGCAGTTCAAGCTGGCTTTGAGCTCACTTTGTAGCCCAGGCTGGTCTTGAACTCGCAACCATCCTCCTGCCTCAACCTCCCGAGTGCTGGGATTACAGGCATGAGCCACTACACCTGGCACAATCATGAATTTTTAAAATTTCATTAAATTGTTTATATTCAAAGTTTTATTAATAATTACCCCAAGCTGAAAAAAAAAATCTCTATTGGCCACTGGTAGGAGAATGAATAAACACATTATAGCATTATAATCTACTACTAATAAAAGACAAAAAATTACTTACATATGCAAAACAAGGATATGTCTAGCAAATTATTAGAGCAAGCTCCTGAAAGTATCTTGGTGGGTCATGGAGGTGTGGCCTTGGGTTTCTTATTTAGTCCAATGTTCTTCATTCCTGGCACTGTTTTCCTGTTCTGCTCCATGAAGAACATTTCCTCCTTTACATTGCTTACAATGAACATTTGCCCCATGAATGAACATTTCCTCTTTTGTCTCTTGGTCTGATAAGTTTTTTATTTTGACTTCCTCTAAACTGATATATAGCATTAACCTAAGCTGATCCTTTGCTTTTGCACAGTGTACTGCCTGAAGGTTTAATGAGCTTGGCTTGAAGTTACTGTCTCAGCATACTTCTGTTCCCACCTGTATGTCTTGCAAGAGTTAAACTAAAATGCTAGTTCCTGTAATTGCATAATTCAATCAAACATTACAAGAGCCAATGAAATAGGAATTGTTTCTCAAAACAAATTAAGTCAAATGTTTTGGGAAGACTTAGTAGTTAAATAAAAAGTTACAGAATAATGTGAAAGATTGGAAAAGATCATAAATACACGAATAATTCTTCAACTGGGCTCCTTCAAAATGTATTTTTTTAAAAAAATCCTTCATCTAAAGAAGCTGACTCCTGACTCACAGGTGGTGGTAATGCATGTGCCAATGAGCAGATCTGTCCAATACTAATAGTAATTTTTGATTCTATATTATTCATAATGAGATAAAATGAAACATCAATTATCATAATTCACAGACATAATCACCTTAAAACTAACTGACTATGGATTCCAGTGAAATTCCAGGAGCGACTTGACTGTAATTCTCTAGAGACACACTCCAGGCAACAAGCGTCCCAGCCTAGAGGTGCAAAAGACCTGCCCGTGTGAGGAAGTACGAAGTCTACACCAGGCAGAGGCATTTCCTGCGGGGATGAGCCAACAGGCCGGTAGACCACTGGAGGGGACAGGCGAGCTTTCATCTGAGGACTACAGGAGGGTGGTGGTACCACCATCTTATTGTCACCCACTTCAGAGCTCACTAAGCTTTCCCCAGCCCAGAGGAGAAGGATTCCTCCTTCCCAGAGCTGTGACAGGGTCAGGGAGAAGAGCTGTGAGGGTCAAGAGAGGTTTTTGTCTTGGATCCTACATTGCAAAGGACATCTGATGGAACTTTTGATGTCATCTCCACATAAAAGAGGAAAAATAATCCTTTGATTTTATGCTAAAAACATTAATTTACTGCTGAGGATTTAGCTCAGTGGCTTAAGTGCCTGCCTGGCAAGCGCAAGGTCATGAATTCAATCCCCAGCACCAAAAAAAAAAAAAAAAAAAAAAACCCAAAACATTAAATTACTAAAACTTTCATTTATTATGTGCTCAATCTGTGAAATGCTCTGGGCATTTCCTCATATTTTAACACTTCAGGAAGCTCAAAAAAAAAAGAGGTAGCTGAACCTACTCGGAGTCTTGCAGTCTCTAGGCACCCACCTCTTCACCTGGCCGTAGGATGGAGCTCCTCGTCCTTCACATTGCAGACTTGCTTATTTTGTCCCTTGCCCACAAGAGAGAGATGTTGATGCCCTCCACATCTCACGTTCTTATATCGTCATACCTTGCCTCTTGCATGTGTGGTAACCATTGTGTTTGGACTTCTGAGTTATATAATGGTATTAAAACCGTTCTCCTTGAGTCTTCTCATCTGTCTTTGCAATTTTCCATCTCTTGTTTCTTTTCTTCCTGGCTATGTATTTTGCACACTTCATTCTTTTTTAAAATGGATTTAAGAGTATATATAAAAAATAATTACCTTATCAATTTACCTATGATTGATAATTACCTTATAAATTTATCTATGTACAAAAGGAGTTTGAATTTTAAAAACTGACAAAAGTAGGGCTGAGGACATAGGTCAGCAGCACAGTGCCTGCCTGGCAAGGGCAAGGTCCTAAGTTTGATTCCCATAAAATAAAATAAAAATCTGACAGAAGCAAGTTCATCTATAGCAGGAAGGCCAGAACTGGAAATAATGGTTCAGTGTTGCCAATGAGGCATGACCACACTCAGAGCAATAGCTGGGATTTACTCTAGACCAAGGTCTCAAATTAAAGTCCTGCTACACTTTGTTCCCCAAAGTCCATACGTGAAAGTTAGTGGCCTGTAGTGATACTGGAGGTCATGGATGCTTTAGGAGGTGGGACCTAATGGAAGAATGTTTCAACATTGGAATAATACCCTGGAAGGCAAATTGGGGATCCCCAACCCCTATTATATCTCCTCTGCTTCCCAGCTGACAGAAAGTGAGTAGTTTTCTCTGGCATATGCTCCCACCATGATACTCTTTTTTGCAACAGGCCCAAAGAGAACAGGGTGCATCAGCCTTGATCTAAAATAATGGTGAGCTAAAATACAACCCTCCTTTTTAACTTTTGGTACTGAGGATCAAATTCATAACTTCGCACCTGCCGGGTAGGCACTCCCATTGCTGAGCTATATCCCCAGCCCTGCCCTTTCTTCTTATGTCAGGTATTTGGTTACAGCACAGGAAAGCTGCATAACATAGGTTCCAAAGGATCCCTTGGAGTGTCTGCTGACAATGTGGATTCCTAGGACCACTGTCAGAAACTCTGATTCCACGGGTGCAGGATAGGCGACAAAATGATAGGGACTACATATAGCTTGGTGAACATATGATACCTAAGAGCTGAGAAATATGAGGCTGGCTCTGGATTTGAAGGTAATTAACACTAGACAGGGCAAATCTACTTCCCTGAACATCTGCTGCCCAGTCTGTAAGAGATGGGGGAGTAATAGTGGAATTGGCTGTGGTGAAAAATGTCAAAGTTTTTTCCTTCACCTTTCTGAGTATGATAAGTACTTCCTACCTCTCCAACCTAACACAAGGTTTATTACCTTGGAAGGGGTAAGGATACGAGAAAGATATGACAATTTGTTTCAGAATGTTTGCAAAGAGAAAGAAGGTCTTGGTATATAGATTATGGCATTCAAAATAGGACTATGCAGAAATACCATTTCTATGGGAGAGAATCTTTCCCTTTATCCATTCCTACACCCGTTCTTTTCCCGTACCTCACAATCAAGTAGAAAAGTTTTAGGCATGAACATTCTCTTATCACTTAGAAAATAGACCCTCTATTGTTAGCAGCCAGGCCACAGGTCTGGGATTCTGTAATAGAATGAGGTATGTAAGAGGAAAAAAATAAAAAATTCCTCTATTTGTTTTCTGAGTTTGTTGTTGTTGTTATTATTTTCATTTTGGTTTTTTTGAAACAGGGTGTTACTATCTAGTTCAGACAGGCCTTGAACTCACTATGTAGCCCTTGATGGGCTTGAATTTGAGACAATCCTTCTGCCTCAGCCTCCTGACTCTTGGGATCACAGGTGTGCACCACCATGCCTGGTCCTGGCCCTCTTTGGTTGAGGGCATTGTAGAAAGAAGGACATCAAGACTGAGAAGAGAGCAAATGATGCTGAGATGAGTGGAGAGAGAGAGGGAGCACATACTTCCAGAGGACAGATATCTGGGATTGCACCCTTCCTTCCCTATTACCATCTCGACCTAAACTTTATTTTAGACTGTTGGGGCTACGAGAGCGGAGGGGAGGGACAGATGTGGCCTCAGTTGATGTTGGGTGGGGTCTTTTTCAGCAGACTGATTTTAATGTGCCCTGAGTTTGAGACCACTGAACTTGAGCAGAGTGAGCACATGAGTTCCTTTTTTAACACAAAGCCCTTGTGCAAATAAGGAGACTAATTACAAACAAAAGGAAAAGGTTCTTGGAACACCTGAGCATAGTGGCTTTGTTGGGCATGCTTAAGATACAAACAAAAAGACTAGATAAAGAGCTCTTTTCTAAAAACTGTTATAGCCAGTGTGCAACCCATAGTATGTAGTTCTCTGGCCAGGATTCCAAAAACACAAAAACAGGCAGAGAAATAAAATCAAGATTTTAGCTAACATGACTACAGTTCTCTCTTTAACAACAAAAAAAAATTTTTTTCTCCTCAATTAGAATAAGATGATTGAAATAAAAGTGTTTTCTTAACTAGCTGGTCATTAGTTGCAAATTCTGGTGGGCTTTCTTCTTGGGGTTGGAGCTAGTACAGTAGACTGGGATGCTGGTTAAGAGTGAGGCTTTGGGGTCAGAATTAATGAGATTAGAATCCTAGATTTACATAATGCTGTTTAACATAATGTCCTCAAGTTCCATCCATATTGCTACAAATCACAAATGACAAGATACATACATATATATATATATATATACACACACACACACACACACACACACACACACACACACATACACACACAATTTTATGTACCTATTCAGTCACCTAGGGAATTTTTTATAAAATTCCAGCATCTGGACCATACTAGAGTTTCTAATTTTTCAGAAGAAGAGGACAACCTAGACAATGATGCTTTTAAGGGCTTCTAGATGATTCCAAAAGGCAAGGTTGAAAATCACTGACATGGTGCCATTTTCCTGTGTGTATCAGGGTAAACTGCATACTAGCTCAGTTACCCTAGCACGGTGTTGCCTCCCAAAGGTGGTGTCTGACATCAGTTGGAGCCATCACATTCTCTAGTTTTAATGCCACAACCACACCAGGAGGGTTTGCTAATTTCAAGTCAGAAATTGGTTTTTAATGATAAAATTAATAAATTGTTAACAAAGAATATTAGAAATGTTGTGTCTTTACCGAACTGTTGATATGTAAGATACGTAAATTAACTAAAATATTTAAGCAGAATGAAGCCAGTAGGTTGACAAATTCTCTCTATAAAGTTTCAGGTACTAAATAGTTCAGGCTTAATGGGGCAGACAAAAAATTAAGCATAATTGCACTACTGAGACTTAACACAGTGCAGTAGTGCGAACAATCAGAGGAACGCATGCAATGTCTCTGGCCATTTCTGCAGTGGGAGATTTGTCATAGCAAAAAATGGCCATAAACAACACATGAACAAATGAGCACGGGTTTATAGCATTTCCACATGTTGATTTCTAAAAGTGTAAAACTCAAAAAATAAATAAATAAATAAATAAATAAAGATCTCTCCAACCTCGTAGGTCATGCAAAAGAAAGATGACATCAGACTTGGTCCTTGGGGTGTCCATCATTAACTGTCCTCTGTCCTAGACTGAATCCTGAGCACCAACATCCTTGGGGAAATTCCTAGTGGCTTCTGCCTCCCGCTGTGAATATCTTCATCCCACACAGGACAATATAACCCAGCGAACACCACGCAGTCATATCTGCCTTCAGTGAATCTTTCATGCAGGAAGACAGTTAGGATTCTTAAGTCCCTTCAGAGGCCACATGTTCTCAATTGGGGCTGGCCTTGATGTGGTATGGAGAGCCTGTGTCCCTCCCCCTGGCTTGCTTCCTATTTCTTAGTTGTTTTCCTAGCCAAGAGTAAGTGAAACTAAACAGACTCCACCCCTCTGACCAACTGTGATCCTGTTTCTTACAAAAAGCTGGAGCTGGCTGCTATGGGAAAGTTATACTCCGGTGAGATCATGTCCTCCGTGCAGACCCTCGGGGGCCCCAGTCCTGGGCAGACCTGTGTGCTGATTCTGATCTTCACCGTGCTCCTGCAGTCCCTCTGTGTGGCGGTGACTTACATTTACTTCACCAATGAACTGAAACAGGTCAGTACAATGCAATCTTAGCAACTGCTGGGTTCTCTGCCTGTCAGTCTCTCAGCTTGCTTCTCCTTGAAAACTACTGCTAAATAAATTAAAAAATGTTTATTTTCTATCAGCAGACTGTCTGCTAATGCACATAATTACTGAAAGCCGAATACACTTGCACAACTGGCCCTACCAGTTCCTGACTGATGTGGGCAACAAAACTCCTGAGGGACTCTGTTAGTTTTTTGTCTAAAAAGTGTATGCATGTTAGAATATTAGCAGCTGCTACCATTGGTGAGTGCTTTCTGCCAAATCCTTTGTAGTTCTTGACTTGTGAATTCCTGTGTGCAAGGGTAACTGGATCAGTGCAGGGGTTTTGTCTGCTCATTGTCACACCAGTGGGGTCAGCCTGTGGCTCCCATGCAGGAAAGTGTTCACGAGATAATTTGCTGAGTGAGTGAACAAGCGTGAAAGGTGCCACTAACACACACACACACACACAGCAAGCCAAGTGCTAAGCCACGGAGTGCTGTTGCTTTGCAGATGTGCTCACTCTCAGTGGGTTTTGGCAGACACAGCAGAAAAGTCAGACCTGGGCTCTGCACGGGCAGAATTCCCAGTGCACTGCTTGTTTGTTCTCAGACTTCATGGCGCTTCTCTCCTCCACTCCTTTCTCTTAAATATTTTAAATTAGTTGATGGAAAGCCTTTACACAGATAAGTCAGTCTTTCAAAAATGAGCAGGTAGAATAATATGCATTTGAACTAAAACCAGAACCAAGGCTTGGAATGCCAAATTTCTCTTTTCTCCAAGATTGGGGGGTAGGGGTGAAGTAGAGGAAGCCAGGCCCTTTGGAATATGCTTGGTTTTAGAATTGTGTCTTCCTGTACTAACAACAAGAAGTGAGAATGTGTGAAATGGTCTTCTGCTTGCTCCTTGGACACAGACATGCCATGAGTAAAGTTCCTAGTAAAGAAGTTATCAGACAGACTCAGCATTTGCCTGTTCATGCCGTTTTATACCTGGGCATTAGTCCAAGTACTAATACAGAGAAAAACTTACTGTATTTTATTACAGTAAGTTATTTTATTGTATGTATTATCATCTGTATAAAGCTTCTGAAACTATGCATGCAAAACTTGGAGATTTTAATTTCTTTTGTGTATTTTGAATGTGTGCATATATATTTGACTCAAGGTCTCATTATGTAACTCAGGTTGGCCTCAAATCACAGTGATCCTGCTGCCTCAGCCTCTGGGTACTGGAATTACAGGCATGATACACCATCATCCCTGACTTTTGACTAATTATATATTTTGTAATTTTAAAAAATCAAAACAAAAAAAGAAGGATAGAAATGATACAGAATTTCAGAAAAGAAAAAAAGAGTAGGGAATTAATTCTAGTTAATATATTGCACATTGTTATCTTAGAACTAGTTGTTCCGGTTACAAAGTCTAGATACAAAAATGATCAGTCAAACAAAATGGATCAAAGATCTAAATATTAAAACAGAAACACTAAATCTGCTGGAAGACAAAGTAGGTAGAAATCTTGAAGACATAGGGGTAGGTAGAGAATTCATGAACAAAATCAAACCACACAGGAAATACTTCCCAGAATCAGTAACAGGGATCTCACCTTATTAAAAAGTCTTTGCACTTCAAAAGAAATCACCAACAAAGTGAAAAGAAAACCCACAGAATGGTAAAGAACTTTAGCCAGTACATATAAAGAGCAGAACACATAGAGTTGAAAAACCTCAACCCTCCCAAATTCAAAGACCCTTTCCAAAAATGGGCATCTGAGATGAATATGCATTTCTCAGATGAAGATATACAAATGGCAAATAAATACATGAAGAAATGTTCACCATCACTGGTAATCTGAGAAATGCAAACTAAAGCAGCACTGAGATTTCATCTCACTCCAGAAAGAACGGCTGCCATCAAGAAATTAATCATTTTTTTTCAGAATTTTTTTCTTTTTCTGTCACAGAACCCTGTTTGCAGTAGAGGAAGCTGGCATTGCGGTCTGGTGGTAAATGCCTTGTTCCCATAAACCAGAGCATGTTCATCCTTTAGCACAGAAAGCCCTAATGGCACATACCCTATTGGAATTCGGGGCCTCTGAGTATTTTCTTTGTCTTTTTTTAAATAAACATTTTCAAGGTTTGTCCAAAAAAAGGCCATACAGGCTCTTGACTAGTGGAAGACATTTCAGAATGGCTGTCACACCCTTGGCCTGTCACCTTCTCCAGGTTGGCAGTTGATATCTTATTTTTTTCCAACTCATTTTTAATAAATTTTTTTTAAATATTCCAACTATCAGTTTTACAAAATCTCTAAGGGAAACACAAGAGCAAGGTGCTGAGGTACAAAACACCTGAGGTAACACTTTGTGTATGTGTGTTTTTGTTTTTTAAAAATCTGTAAATTTTTAATACCCTGGGCCAACAACCTTGTATATATTGTTATTTTCCTCCATCCAACAAGAAAAAAAAAAAAAAAGAAAGAAATCAACCATAACAAATGTTGGGGGGCTGTGGGGAAAAGGAATGCGTCACTGTTGGTAGGAGTGTAAACTGGTACAGCCACTGTGGAAATCAGTATAGAGATTCCTCAGAAATCTAGGATTGGAAGTCCCATTCAATCCAACTATTCCCCTCCTGGGTATTTTCCCAGAAAATTTGAAAATATCGTATCATAGCCATATATGTACATTCATGTTTATAGCAGCACAATTTGTAATAGCTAAATGTTGGACACAACCAAAATGCCCATCAACTGCAGAATGGAAGAAAAAGATGTGGTATTTTTATACAATGGAATATTACTCGGCTGTATAAAAGGATGATCTTGCAGCTTTTGTAGGTAAATGGAAGCAACTTAAGACTATACTCATAAGTGAAATCAATCAAACTCACATTTGTAAATACCATATTGTCTCTAGTGTAAAAAACAAATAATAAAAAACTAAAAGTAATAAAATCCAAAATATACAATAGATATTGTAATAATGAAAAGGAAAGAAAGTGCTCCAAAGGACAGAATTATTGGGAAAGGTGAAAAGAAAAGTGGAAGAAAGGAAAAGATGATGTGTATGTTGGTAAACATGTAAATTGATGTATGTATATGTATGCTACATAAATAACTATGTACTAATCTCTCCCAGTTCATCAAAAAAGCATATATATTATATGCTTTTTTTATTATATATTATAGAGAATTATATATTATATATTATAGAGAACTGAGGGCTGGGAGGAACTTTGGATACCCCTCTCCCTCCCTCCTGATCCTCATTTTAGAGTTGAGATGACAGAGTGGAGATGTGGAGCCCTTTCCATAGATCCCCTAAATGATCCTTCATGCTCTTTGTGACCTGCGGTGCATGATTGTCACGAGACTAAAGTTTGGGCAACAGAGAGTCAGTACTGCTGTCTCACAATCTCAGGGGCAGAAAAGGAGTCTGTTCTGCTCACCTCAAGCCCCAGACTGGCTGGCGTTGGACTAAGCCAGCTACCACATTTTGAAGACCCCAAGAGCAATTACCATGGAAACCACTTTTCTGAACAAAGGGCTTCCTGAGTTAAGAGCAGGCTTCCCCTGCAAAAGAAATCTCTCAACAATCCCACAGCAACCCACACCCAGCACTCAAGCGTGGTTACTAGACAATGGCCCAGCTTGCCACATCCTGTGATAAAAAAGGTGCTGAAAAAAAGGGGGAGAAACACATCAAATTAGTCATCATTTATCATTCTTGGAATACCCACAGCACGCAAATTGCCACACATTCAGTCTCCAGCACTGGCCAGTGTCTGCAGAACTACCAGCTATTATCATAGTGGAGATGAGGGTAAGGTGAGCCATTATGCTGGGTGGGATGAGGGTGGGTGAGGCTTCTCTTCAGGCTTTGTTCAGAAATCAATTTTTATGCATAAAAATGTCTGAAAAGAAAAATACCAAAATGTTAACACCTGTGAGCTCTAGATAGCAAGATAATGCATGCTTTTCTTTTTTCTTTATATTTGTTTAATTTTCTACAGTAACTGCCATAAAAATATCATATACGATTTTCATACAGATTTCAAGAACATGACATTTGTATACAGTCTTAAGAGAAAACAGCCATGCACCAAATCACACACACACTGTCTGATCTCCACCCCTTAAATAAGAGGTCCTCCAAAGGTTAACCAGGAAATGGGATTGTGCTGTGAGCGCTTCCATGAATTGATGTTCAATTTGTTTTTGTTTTATGTTTTTAGATGTGCAGTTGTTTTTAACTTTTAAACAGTGAACTTGACTGTTTCGTTCTCGTGGTTGCCTGTGTAGCCTGAACCTCCAGGCTTCATCAACCTTTGAGCAATAATGAGTGACATAAGTTTGTCGGCCTCCTGACTCAGGATGCTGTTGGCCACACTGACCGCCCTGTGGCAATCACCTGTACCATTCCTGCCCGTAACCTTAGCCTGAGGCCCTCAGAACTTTCCTAGTGAGACAGTCCTCAGTTCTTGGAAACCGTTCACTCCCTGCTTTGTACACGTTCACGGTTCATGTCCCAACAAGGGTCGGAGGTTAATGAGCCTGCTTGTTCAGTGTAATCAACTTCCTCATGCTGGCTTGACAGGAATACTGACAAGAAAATTTTCCCTTCCTGAAAAAAAATTTGTGTTTTCAGCTCTTATTGTCTTCCTCTTACCCAGTTTGCTCTCCTTACCCAGGACATGCTCTCCTATCCCTGAAGCATGTGTAACTAAACTCTTCCTTGGAAAGGCTTTTCGGCTATACGTAAACTGGAAAGGCAACTACATGTGTGTGGTAGAAGCATTTAGGATGGGTAGAGGCAAGGAAAGGTCTTCTGATTCCACGGTCAGTGGACTCGGCTGTCACCCTCAATCCCTTCTCGTAGGAGGAATGTCCCGCTCTTGTAATTTTAAAATGGAACACTGAAAACAAAGAGTCATTTGTTTTAAAGTAAATGAAAACTAGGGTACAAGGATGCATTAACTCGGGTTTGTACTTTTGCACTTGATCAAAAGTGCAAAGGACACATGGCTGCACACAAGACTGTGATTCTAGCCAAGACTTTTCATTAACAGTAAGGTCATTTTTATTTAAAACGAGGTTGTTTTCCTGTAGGTAGGAACAGACCATCTTTAAGTTTGATCCTTTTTGTGTAGTACCTTACCTTTAAATAATAGATAACATTACTGTTATCCCATTTGTTTCCCCAGATAAGAGAAAAGCAAGACTTCTTACAGCAAAATAACATTTATTAAATCTTGATTTTTAGAGAAACAAAATTAAATGGGAAGGAAGTCAACAGAAAAACTTCTAGCCTGTGAGGTCTTTCTGTTTTTCTTCACTAATCTAATAACAACCACCTATTCTAGGTGGTTTAGGGTGTGTGTGTTTATAACATCAAACAAGGAATTGTTGACATAGGTGAGGACTTTGTAGTCAATGATCCTTCTTCCTCAATCAGGAGACAGAAAACATTCAAATGCTATTTAATCTCTGTAGGTAAGTGTCTGGCTAGTTGTGGGCATTTCGTGTGACATTATAGAGATTTCTAATGGTAAGGTAGTTCAGAATTGCTATCAAAAGGACTAAAAATCATATCAATAATTGGAATAAACTCAGTCACCAAAGCTCAAAGAAAGAGTTTGACTAATTTCACCTAGGATCTTAGAATTTAAACCAACTCCACTGCCTATGTTGTATCTAGGTGGGTTTTCGCTTTGGAATGAGATTCATACCGCACGAGAGCTGGAAGGGGCTTGAGACATCACCACATGCACCTGTTCAAAACTAACGAGGAGCACACCCTGAAGAGGAGAAGCAATGTGTCCAGTGACATCCAGCTAGTTAGTGATCCAGGCAGGCAAGGGATGCCTTGACCCAGGGTCCCTAACGCACACCTGCACCCTTCCCATCATTTGCAACTTTAGTCAAAGCACAAAGGAGAGCATGTAAAACATGAACTTACTCAAGATGCCAAAATTCTCTGAATCTGTCATCAGTTTCTGTTGTTTTAAACTTTTATATGTTGAAAAAAAGAGGACTCTTGAGCATAATATTGTGCTATATTCCATCCCAAACCAGATACAGGAGTACTCCAAAAGTGGCATCGCATGTTTCTTAAAGGAGGACGACGGTTCCTGGGATCCCCAGGATGATGACAGTATGAACAGCCCCTGCTGGCAACTCAAATGGAAACTACGTCAGTTTGTTAGAAAGGTAGGTAACCATAGCAGGCACACAAGGTCCGAAGAGAAGGAATCTTCAAGATCAGTCTAGATTGTGCATCGTACAAATGAGGAACCTGAGGCCCAGTGTGGTTAAGTGATTTGCCCCAAATTCATAGAGCATGATAAAATGACATGGCCTGGAGCCCTGGCCTGGAGCTCCCTCCTCCACCTCAAACAGCTCCCTCCTCCAGTCCAACCTTATTACTGCACTTGGTGGAAACTGAGACACAGGGAGGCCCCTGCAGTAACAAGGGATGGGTGTTGTTTTCATCCAGAAGATAAAAGAAGCCAAATAATGAAGTTATATATTTTCTCATATTTTAATATCCAAAAACAAGCATATGTTTGTTTATTGCTTTGTCTCCATTCAGAAATGACACATGGAGAAAAAGAGATATTTTAAGAAATAAAAGATGGTGATGATATTTTAAGTTACAATCAGGAAATGACAAATTATAAAATGTATCTGTTTATAGAAGTTGCTTAAACAGGCTCTGTATCAGAAACAGTGTGTTAGCTAATAGTTAACTTTCCTAAATACAGTTAACTGATTTTACTCTTAGCAATTGTGATAAATCAATTTATTATTTCTCTGGCTGATCCTTTCTTTGTACGATAGCATTACCATTATTTGCCTTCAGCCTTCTTGAAAAGGTCAGATGAGAACATGGATGTTAAAAATGCTCTGTGACCTAAGAAGCCATAAGTACACTACTGCATTGTCTAAAGATACACTGGGGAAACTCCCAATGGGAGGAGGATGTATTATAGACTTGTTTGTTATGTCTATTGTTTAGTACTCACCTTCCGCCTAGAAACAGTGTTTTATTGATGGTTACAGAGTTGTGGAGTATGGCTTTGAGCAGTCCTCACAGATCTGAACATCACCTGTGATGCTGTTTCTATGGAAATGAAATGGAATCTCCCCGGGGCATTGCAGGAACACATCTGTTCCATGACTTCCCTGGAAGCGAGGCCCGGAACTGGGCCACCCCGGCACACAGCTGTCCTGAAACAGCTGTGGCTGCTCAGGAGATGAGGATCAAAACAAGCTCAGTATGAGGAAGGCTCCTGAAGATGCTCAGAAGGGACACTTTGAAGTCCCCGGGCTCTGGGGGTGGGGCAGCGACCCAGCTGCCGGGAGATGCTGCCCTCAGAAGTAGGGCAGAGATCTGCAGACCAAGGAGCCAGTTGGATGCGGGGCTCACAGTGGGAGGACAGGGAAGTAGCGGGATTTTCCTGCAGTGCTCTCACTCCTCCCAGACACACCCAGGTGCCAACTAGAGCGGAGAGAAGCTGGGAGAGGACACAGGAGGGGACTGGGGGAGAGGAGACAAGGATTTTCCATCTGTTCAGGCACATTAGTTAAACATTTCATCCTACTTTCATTTTGCACATGATCTCATTGAATCCTCACGCAGACACTGTTGAACTGAGGAAGAAGGGGAAAACAAGTCTGCCAAGTACAGTCTCACAGGGCTCGGAAAGGAGAGACTGGGTGGAGACCAGGCTGTCCCAGTCCCCTTGCCATCGCTTTCCATGCTGCTTCCAGCACAGGAAGAAGGACGACTTTTCTCCTGCTCCTGCTCCTCCCCTCTCCTCCCCTTCTGTCCCACAGTGAGAGAAGGGGAAGAGCCAGAGCAAGCGGGAAGGGGAGGAGGGAGAGAGACCGCTGTGTTCCTGCTTGCTGGCCTCTTCCTCCCCTACCCTACCCTGGAAGACTCCACTCCGCGGCCCTCCTGGGACGGGGCTTGTGGCAGAGGGAGAGCCAGGGCTTCCTTGGGTAGGAGTATAGAGAATTCAAGTTCTAGCAGGTGCAAAATTAACAACAGTGACAGGGAAAGGAGGACAGTGACCGCCCAGAGGTGGCAGAGCTGAGTGAAGGGGGTTTGGAAGCCATTGACAAAGCTGGGGATGGTGGGAGTACCTGCCATCCTAACACTTGGGAGGCTGAGGCAGGAGCATTGTGAGGCTGGGGGCAGCCTGTGCAACACAGTGAGACTTTGTCTCAAAAAAATAAAAAGCTGTCAATACGCTAAGTCGGTTCGTTTAATAGAAAGGATTGGTTTTCGCTTTGTTTTACTGGTTTGAGGAAATTCACTTAATCATTAGCAAACATGTAGGGGCTCGGTGTCATCTGTACCATGAATACACATGCCTGAGCCACAGCCTCGGAAAGAAGAGGATGGTGCTGTCCTGTCACAGCTTAGGAGCTGTATGTCCGTGGACACCATAAGAGAAAAATGTGCTTTCTGCCACAAGGCTGGGGTCAGCCCAGTAATTTCAACACACACAGAGGCATGCACCCAGTCATACACACCACACAGACAGTAATATGATATGACTGCCACCTTCACTGGCTACAGGGAAACCGGGGGTGGGGGGGACATTAGACTGACTTAACTTGTCCTCTCATCTTGCAAACCTTTCAAAGGCTTCATGCAGGTGCAGAACTTTCCCAGGAAGGGTTGGTTCTTCAGTCACACTGTAAGGACAGGCATCTTAATATTCACCCTGACTCCCTCCCCCTACAAACCTTATGCTTAAACAACTTAAGCTTCCCAGGTTGATGTCTTATGTAGAAATGTGCTGTTAGGCATGAGCAAAAGAATAATAGACATTCTATAGTCAGTTTAATAATGTTTAGGGACATTAACAAGTTTTACTCAATACTATTTGCAGATGATTTTGACAGCCTTTGAGGAGACCATTCCTACATCTCAAGGTAGTAAACTTTTTTGTTATTTTTACTTGTTACTGTTAACTTCGTGAGAGGGTGAATGGTCCTCTGTTCTCCTCCGCTTCCGTCCACGCATCTCATCTCTGACCTGCTGTTTGGTGTCTCAAGCCACTTACTGATCCTACTGAAGCCCTTCGCTGGCTGCTGGAAAGCTCAGGACCAAATCTGTGGCACACACAACTATGGTGGAACTTTATGTCCTCTTAATCTTACTTTTTCCATATGAGTTTTCCTTTTACCTCAATTTCTTACCTTATTTATTTACTTTTTTAAACCTTCTAATGTGCTAAGCCATTTTAAAATTTTTCTGAACATTCCAAGCAATAAAACAATAAAATCCCCTAAATTTACCCATCTTTTGTGCTTCTGACCGCAACCAGACTCTGCCTTTCTTCACATGTGGCCTTTCTCTTGCCACACCGTGCCTTCCTCACCGAGTTTACCAGCCGCCGGCAGCCTCACATCTGCGTCCTCCGTGTGCACCCAGTTCCGTCTGCAGGCCGCGGCTTCCCCTGAGCCACATCCCCTCGGCAGCTGGAGTCCTCAGCCCTCCGTCTGGCTACTTCTATTCTGGGCTTTCCTGCTCCTTTGTGGCTCACATTGTGATCTCTTCCTTCACAGAGGTCTTTCCTGGCTACTTTTCTAAATAAATAAGATTTCATTCACACTCAGCTTGCTTCTCTATGAGATTAAAGATCTTCAAAGATGAAAAATATGTCCATTTCTTCATTTTGTATATCCAACCTCAGGGAAATCACGTTCTACTTGGGATATCAAGATGTAACCATGACACCAAAATACACATATTTGCTTTTCTTTTCTGTGAAGTGTTTACCATAACCAGTGGGAAATTCCTCGTTCAATTTTGCTTTCAAAGCTAGGCTTTCCCATATCCTTCCAATGACCTCCAGGGCAAATTTGATTCAGTACCAAATATTTAAAACAAAGTGTTAAGGGTTAGGATGTGGTGAGGCATCATGAATCATTTAACCATCAAAGTTAAAGATAAATGAACAAGGCAAACTTGAAAGGTGAGCATTCTGGAACTAATGTGTAACTGACTATGCAGCTCCATGCTATATTCTGTCTTCTGTGGGGTGTAAATGCCCACACATCCCGTATAATTTACAGCCATTACCAGAGAATTGCAAGAAATTTGTCATCTTCTATTCATGCCACCTTAAGAAATTTTATCTCGTTTGCAAAATCCCTTTGCTATAAGCCTAGATTAGGGTACTGACTCATTCCAATCAATTGCCATCTATTAATTTACCTGTTAATCTCCAGCCCTCTCATCTTCAGGCTATCAAACCTAACTGTGTCAGGTAACCTGAATCACAACACATGTTTCTCTACTTCCCCAAACATCTTCCAATCTCCCCATATTCTGTAAAGTCCAAACTTCTTAACCTAACATCACATCTTCTATATTTCAGCTCTTCATTCAAGTCTCAGACTGAGATGCTTTTAGGTCTATCCCAAGAATGCTTTTTGTACGCTATCTCAAGCCACTGGTTCAGCTCATGGGATCCTTTTCTGCAGTCTTCATCCTGTTCTGACATTTATCCCTGTACCACTAATAGTTTCTTTTGTTGTTGTTGTTTTTGTCTTTTTCCTTTTTATCGGTACCGGGGGTCGAATTCACGACTGCCTGCTTTCTTGCATTTGCTTGTTGATAATTCTTCCTCCTTATCCTAGAGGAATACTGGGCACAGATGTCATGGGCATTTTGCTTTACTGCAGCAAGTGAAAGAGTTCTTGCTCCTGTCTCCTCCACAAACCCTGATCTCAGCTCTCCAATAAATCGGAATCCTTCCCTCCTCTGTATCCTGACACCTTTCATTTCTGTTTCTCATAGATACATTTTCACTTACTAATTCTTATCTTCCAAAAAATATTGTAAGTGCCTAAGGGCTTAGTGAGCTAACACGATCATTAATCTATGTAGTTCTGTACTGCATAGTATAGTACCTTGATGATATATATCCGATAAAAGAATACAATTTATTTTAATAACCAATATGAGCACTCCTGGGAAATTTGGGATGATACTTTAGAGATAAATTTATGGGATTTGTATTTTTTAAGAGTACTATAAGTAGTCTGGCTGGTGGTTAATGAAATCATTTATTATGATCCAGTGAATCAGTAATTTATATGCTCATATTCTGAATATTATGGCTCATATGTTCTCCTTTTTGATGGTGGGACAGGTCTGGAAAGACTGTTAAGTACCAGACTAGTATCCATGAAAACTTTTTATCATTACGACTCCTTTAAAGTCAGCAGTAGCTACTAGCAAAAGGGAAAAAGAAAATGACTGAGATGACAATAATTGATAGCACTCCAATTTTTTATATATATAACTGAAAGTAGAAATTTGCCAATGTTTGGTTTTTAAACACAGTAAGTCCCTCAGTGGAATTATGACAAGTCCACAGTTTTTTTAAAATTTTTGTTTCATGTCATTTTGTTTTTGAAAGAGGCCAGAATTTTTATTTTGTTACATTTTATTTGGACCTTTCCTCTGACATGCTGATAAATCCAGATTCATCTGCTTAATCTTTCCATCTAAAGTACTTTTCAAATTAAATATAAGATGAAGTAGATTGCTCATTGTATTCAAATAGCTATTTTCATGAAAACCCACCACACCAACTTTGCAAGTTCAGTGTGTTTACAATGCCCGAGTGAAAACTGAGATGACCAACGATGTACTCTGAAAAGCTAGCTTCATAAGTGCTGGTAATTCTTTATTATTTCTCTTCCAGAAAGTCAAGTAAGCCTCACCCAAAGGCAAGACAGAGGACTACAGAGAGCCGCAGCTCACATAACAGGGACCACTCGGAAAAGTACCAAGTCCATCGACCGAGGTGAGAGAGCTGGTCACAGCTGTGTTAGCCGGAGACGTAGGGCTGTGCTGCCGCACTGGCCAGCTCACACGTGCCCAGGGACTCAGTGCTCAGCAGTGAAAAGAAAGAAGAACCTTAAATCCGACCAGAGGAAGCTAATGGAAGAATAGTTACAACAAGCTTATGGTTTTAAGCTTGTACCTGCAATATTCATGTAGCTATCTACAAAATGGTCGGTAATAGTCAAATCTCAGATTGACTTTTCAGAAGTAAAATTCCAGACAAACAGCTCAGTTGCTGCCATAGTGTAACTGGCCCTCAAGAGAAATGCGAAGTGGGAAAATTTTAACTTTGAGATTCCTGGATTTCCACTTGGGCTTTTTCTTCTTCAGTTTCTCTCCTACGCTCTCTCAGGATCACTCTTTCTGCTACTTTGCATTCTTTACTTTCTGTGTTTGCATCAAATCTTCTTCCCTCCAAAGGTTCTAAATCATTTGCTTTTGCTGCGAATCACCAGGAGCTCCTATTGGTTGTTATATTAAGTACAGCCACAGGAAGCTGCCAACATTTGACCACTTTCCACTTACAAAAATGTCAGTTTCCCAGTTTAACCAAATACATGAAGTGTGATTTTTGTCTGTTGAAGCAGATGTCACTATAATATTGTGGTACTGGACAGGTTCTGTAAGTGCTTGAGTTGGAACTCAGCTTCTCTTGACCTACGTAAGTGGTGTGATGGGAAAATGCAGTGGATTTTATTTATTATAATAAAAGGCACATTGCCAATAATATGCCTCTTGCTTTAAACACACCAATCCCATTATTCCTGTCACTTTATGCTCTGGAAGTCCTCCATGACTAGCCTTAGCTGCACGGTCATGGCTGCCTTGATATCCAGAATCCGTAACAAGTGTTTACCTTTCATGATCATACTGACTTCGGGGAAGACCGAGAAGTCTCCAGGTGCCAGAGCTGGTGAGTAAAGTGGTGCCATTTTGTTTTTCAAGCCTGCCTCTCCGTTGGGTGGCGCTGGCAGCCAGTCTTTAATCACATTTTGAAAAGACACTCACGAAAGACAACTTCCAGAACTACCTCAGAGAGTGACAGGGAAAGTGGGAGAAGTGTGTTCAAAGGAAAGGGGGGTGTTTTGAGGAGGATTAATTACAGTATGTGTTTTGCAATATACATTTTTAAAAATTTAAACACTCATCATATATTTTGGCCACTCCTTGTGGAGAGCAAACTATTAAATAAGTCAAGATTCAGTTTCTTCACATATGAAGCAAGGTAATTACTAACTCATAAAATGATATAAATTAACAGCAGCTCATGAAAACTGTATGTTTAATTAAAATAAAGGACTCAATAATTAGCCACCTTTATAATTATAAAAGGTTTTGTCCCAAGTTAAAGAAATTTCAGAAATATCAGTTAATAAATGAAAAAGTTGTTTTTGTGTGTTTTTTCCCAGATTCCTGAATTTGTGCTTTAGAAATGATTGACATGCTCTGCTCAAAATCAAGACGATTATTTTGGTGTTACTGTTTGTTGTTCATCAACAAATATAATCATTGTTTTAAGGTCTTGAAAAGTTAAATCTTGCACCATTAGTGGAAATGAACCCAAAGTTTAAAAGAGTATTGTATTTTTGTAGGGCTTTTTTTATTCAAAATGTTTGGGAGTTAAGATTCAAAGATCTGAGGATCTTTCTATCAGGGCTACATTGTCAAACCTTGTCCCTATCTTATTTTGGACCAGAGGTACCTTCTGTTTTGAATGGAACCTTTGCTTCTGGAGAGCTGAGGAAGGCCAAGGACGAACTCGAAAGTCCCGAAGAATTAGCAAACAGTCCTAAGAGCTAGGCTTAAGGAAATATATTTCTTTTGGTGTCTTTCTAGATTTTCCATTTTATTTCAATGCCACAGTAAGGAAGGAGAGGATTCAGGATAGGAGGTCTTCCCAGGAGTAAAACCCATCATCTACCGTTCATGAATGTGCTACGATTCAGAGTTGATTGTGCCAAGTAGCTTAACTGTTAGATGTAACACAGAATGGCTAGAGACGCCCAGAAGAGCATAGTAACAAAGGAGCCGTCTGATTTTATATGAGTAGAGAATATAATTCATGTAAGATTGAAGGAGCAAGAAGTTTAATATTAGACTGAAATCTATTATGAGACCAACAAAAATATAGGCTGAGCACAGCCAATGGACTTCTTGCTTTGTACAAATTCTCTTCTGTTAATTGTTTCCTCTCTCATCTTTATCCAGCATCTAAGAATGAAAAGGCCTTGGGCTACAAAGTATTATACTGGGAGTCATCAAGGAAAGGACATTCATTCCTGAATAATTTGCACTTGAGGAATGGCGAGTTGGTTATCCACCAAGCAGGGCTTTATTACATCTATTCCCAAATATACTTTCGCTTTCAAGAAAGTGAAGAAACTTCAGCTTCAAAAGAAGAGAGAAGGAAAAACAAACAAATGGTGCAATATATTTACAAATTCACAAACTACCCTGAGCCTATAATGCTGATGAAGAGTGCGAGAAACAGTTGCTGGTCCAAAGAGTCCGAATATGGACTGTATTCCATCTATCAAGGAGGCGTGTTTGAGCTTAAAGAAAATGACAGAATTTTTGTCTCTGTAACTAATGAAAGCTTGATTGACTGGGACCAAGAAGCCAGTTTTTTCGGCGCCTTTTTACTTAGCTAAATGATCTCCAACAAGAAGCATTAAGTTCAAAATGATGATTCATCTTTTAGGATGAAAGACTGAAGATTTCAGAATTTGGAAAGAGCATCAGCCACAACTAAAATTCTCAGAAATACACATTTTTAACATTTCTGAAAATAAATCACTTTATTCTAAGAAAATAAAATTTCTAAAAGATCACGTAAGATATTCTAGAAAAAAATCTAGAAGATCTTAGGGTTTCAAACATTTATGCAGCCATTAACATCTTTTGTATTTATCATTTAGTCCTTGGGGAGATTCCAGGAGAAAGAGCAAACAACCACCTCTGAAACAGTCACCACAGGGGGTAGCTTCAAGAACAGTCTCATATGGAAAGAAAAAGAACACCACTAAGAGATCCCCCAGCTAGGAAGCAATGCTCCAGCAAGACGTGGAGTGTAGTCGTCCAGCCATATGGTGCACCTCTAGTCCCAGAACTCAGGAGGCTGAGGTAGGAGTCCAGGAGTTCGAGACCAGCCTGAAAAGTATAAAAAGATCTCATCTCACGAAACATGAAAAAGAAAAAAAAAAAAAGATTTGCAATGTACAAAAGGGAATCAATAATGTTCAGTACCTTGCAGCATTTTTTTCTTTTGCCTGAATTTGGCAAAAATAAGGAAATGGCCTGCAGAGTAGTCTCATTCAATTTAAGAAATAAATAGTAAAGTGGCAGAGATTTGACAGGAACTCTGAATGGATTGTGCTTCTCACTTCCAAAAGTTAGGCTGGCCAAAATCACTGAAAATGGTTTTGCTAACGGACTCTGTGATGGGTGGTCAACTGACGTGAAGTGATAGAGAAGAACGGGAAAGTGGAAATGACAGGTAATGACAGGTAATAACCCAGGTAATGACAAAGCTGAGATTCTCCTCACATCAAACATCAATATTTCATGTTTATCTGCTTAAGACTGCATCATTTATTTTGACCTGATACAAAAACATCAATTATTTTTGTCTTCCCAGATCAAAACACAACATTTAGTCTATATTTAGTCTAACAAGTTGTGGAGGTGGGGGTGGGAGGGTGTTGTCTAATCTCTAATTGCTGGCTTGTTATTTTATGTGTGTGTGTGTGTGTGTTTCTTATTTCAAGCCCAGACAGATATTGTACAGTGTCTATATGGTAAAACATGCATAACCATTTGCTTATTAACCATTTCAAGCAGACAACTCAGTGATATTTTTTCCTGCTGCCGAACAACTGTCACCACCTTCTACTTTCAGGACTTTTTCGTCACCCCAAAGTAAAACTATGCCAGAGAATAACGTAACCCACACTTGAATGCCAAGATACTCCCTGAAATGTGTGCTGTGCTTCGGATGAATATGTCCCAAAGGCCTGGGAGTAAAGACGTTGCACAGAGTGGTGGTATTAGGTCTTTGGGCATTGGAACTGTGTGTCCCCAAGAGGGATTTAGCGACCTCATTGTTTTTGTCTCCAACTGTGACTGCTCACTCTGACACTCATCAGAGGCCCATCGTGTGGGACCTCTAGACCTCGGACTGGAACTCCAGGACCATGAGCCAAAATATATCTCTCTCTACTTCTTCAGTAGCCAAGTATTTCATTATTGGTGCAAAGTGGTTTTATTATGTGCTTTGGTCACCTAGGTCTTTTTTTTTTAAAAGACTCCTTTGAATTTAATTTTGCAACCTACTGTAGAAAGCTGGCCTTTCTGACGGCCTCACCCTTCACTTTATTTTTCCGTAATTCTAATGAGGATGTTACCTGCTAACAAATTGTCACCCTGTTAGTGAAACCCTCTCATGAAACTGTAATACCAGGACACACTTAATTTTGATATCAGCTGTGTATCTAGTACATGAATGTAGCCTACACACAAAATATATTTGTAAATAATGTTCAAATAAATGTATGCTTATCATTATGGGGAAAAGTACAGCAGAAATATATTGAGAATTTTAAAATTTCAAAGCAACGAAGAATGTTTTTAGCTAACATTTAAGACTAAAACAGACTTTTAAAATTACAGTACTCAGGATTGAGAAGAATTAATTTTTACTTATTTTTATAACACACGTCTAAAGTATATATTACTTTTTCAATAAAATGATGTTAAATATATTGTTTTGTGTGTATGTTTGTTTTAGAGTGTCATGATAACAAAAATGAGATAAAAAGCTTCTGATCTCTTTTTCACTCTATCTTTTTTCTGATATATCCTACAGAAGAGAGAAGTCTCTCATTTTTGTTTAGTATGCTCAGATGTATTACTTATTTCCCTCAAGTTAATTTTTTTTGTTATGGGTTGAATTGTGTCTCCCAAAGAGGTAAGTTGAAGTTCCACTTCCCAACACTTTATAACTTTATTTGAAATATCTTTGTTGCACACCAGCACTCGGAAGGCTGAGGAATTCATAAGTTTGAGCTCGGGCAGAGCAGCATAGCAGAGACCTCCACTCCTAACAATAACACATGCACATGCACACACACAGTCACACACCACAGTGTACAAATGGGAGTCCATATCATGCAGGCCTCTGAAGGATTCTTCTTCTGCACTTGGATTTTGTGGAAAAGAAAATGGTACTAAAAGTACTAGCACATCATTTGAAAATAAACATAACCGGTTGTAATCAGTTAAGATGAGCTCACAGAGGAACAGGATGGCCCCACCATATAGCAGGAATGTTGTCCTTTCAAAAAGCAGGAAAGACAGGTACAGAGAAGAGACACACAGGTGAAGCACAGGAGACAACAGACAGACATCAGAGTGACACTGGGGCAAACTGAAGATCACCGTGGATGAATGGTCATCATCTGAAGCCACAAGGGGACAAAAGGATGCTACCCCGAGTCTCAAACAAAGCTTAGTGTTCCAAGTGCCTTGATTTTAGATATCTGACTCCAGAATTGTAAGTAACAAATTCACATATTTAAAGTTACCCTTGGATTGTGACACTTTGTTCCAACAGCCAGAGGAAAAAAGTCCTTTCCACTGATCATATAGATATCATTATAAATTGTTTCTTAAAGTTTGGCCTTTGTGGTTTAATAGTGTCCCTCAGCTGCAGTTTAATTTGTATGATGTGACAAAGGAATCAAAGTTCATCTTTTACCATAGAAATGTCCATCTGAACATCATTTTTCTCTTATATAGCTCACTTTTTTCCTATAGATTTTAATGTCTCTTCAAATACCATATTTCTTTGCTTTCTTTTCCTGTAGTGATCTATTTTCCCATGTTACATTTATATTATCTATTTAAAACATTATGGTGAAATATGCATAACAGAAAATTCACTATTTCTATCTGTCTCAGTGTATCATTCTGTAGCATTCAATACTTTGACATTATTTGCCAGCATCACTATTATTCATATTCAGAATGTTTTCATTGACCTAACCTGAAATTCTATACATTAAACAATTACATCCTATTGTTCCCTTCACCCAGCCCTGGTAACCATTTTAATGTAATTTGCCTATTACTTCAACTATCTGAAATACTTCATGTCTTTTGCTTGTTTGGTATAATGACTTCCAAGTTTTATTCATGTTGGCATATGTGTTACAATTTCCTTCTTTTCTAAAACTGAATCAAATCCCACGTGATGGACTGGGGAGTTTGAAATCTCAGCTGACAACGACGATCCGAGTCCTGATACTGCCCTCCCACACCGCCCTCCTCGGCATCATCATCTCGCATGACGAGTGGTAAACAAGGGTAGCTGCAAGTCTTTACTTCACGTTGTGAATATCAGCGATCTTGTTTTGTCTTCATGCTTTTCAAATAAATTTATTTTATATCTTATTTTTTCAGCCATATTGAAAATACAGGGTTTAATGTCATGTGAAGTGAAAATATAGTGTTTAATATCATATTCAGTTACATGTAGCATAAATTCTCTTACATGAGAGACCCAAAGTCTAAATAATTGAAAGAACAAAACAAGATACAAAATGGGAGATAGATCTTTTGCAAATGAGAAGGGACTCTCGACATGGAAAAGGAAGGGAAGAAGGAAAGGGAATAAAGAGAATTCAAATGTGTCATGTGCATGTACCTGCTCCCCCAAGAATGTAACCATTACTGTGAATACCTTCTAACAGAAAACTACAATTTTTTGGCCCAGTATACAAAATGTATATGCTATTGCATACAAAGGTACTGTTTGTTAAAAATTACATTAGTTGTTTTGTAACCTGAACTTTAAGTTACATTTTATTTTTTTAAATCCTATTTGCCAAAACCCGAGGAATATGAAATGATGGTAGTCCTATCTTCCAAACCAGTGGAACTATCTCTGTGCCCTCAGGTGGACATACTCCTCCTGGATGCACTTTAACCAAACTTGCTAGTGTTTCTGTAACTTCAGGGACCATTAGAATCACCTGCAGGGCTTGCTGAACCAGCTTTCTCTAGCTCACCTGAAGTGTATAATTCAGTTAGTCTGAGTTGTAGCCTGAAAACCTGCGTTTCTGACATTTCCAGATGAACCTGATGCTTCTGGACCACGGAGCATGTTCTCTCATTTACTTTTAATTAGTGTGTGTTTCCCTACATAACGAATGTATCCCACCTGTGGCCTTGGTAGATGTGAATACCACATCTAAATCAGTTTCACCTCTCCTTCCCCCGGCCCTCTACTCCCATCTCTTGGTCCCTTTTTCTTCTACAAAAGGACAATCTCCCTATTTCCAAGTATCTCTTATTTTGCTCTTTATTTACACTTTGGGTTTCATGTATTAGAGAAATCATGCAATATTTAATCTGCGTCTATTTTTACTTAGCTTTCTGGTGCATCCATTTTCCTATGAATGATTCAAATCCATCTTTATAACTGAGTAGTACCCCATTGTGTATACGTGCCACGTTTTTTTTATCCATTTATCTGTTGATGGGCATGTAGGCTGTTTTCCAAGATTTATCTCTTATGAGTTGCACTACTATAAACATGGGTATGATGTATTTAACTGTTTCAGGAAGATACGCAGGAGGGGAATACCTCAGT